CTGACCGCGAGAATCGATTAGAATTTCCCGAAGTCGGCGCTTATGATTCACGTTGCCCACGTAACTGCGAGCCCGTGTCCCGATAAAGATCTTCCAGCGGCTTGCATCGGCTATGCACTCTCGAGACAGACGGAGTATAAAGTGGAGAGAGGAAAAGAAAAGATGGGAAGGGGAGGGATTGGAGGAGTTAGGCGAAGACGTGATCTTCGCGATCGAGAAATCGATCGTGGGGATCGGTAACGCGGTGGAGCATGCGGCTGCACGTCCAACTTCTCTGACGTGTTTCGTATCGTAATGAAACTCTTCTACGACCTTAATAAGAACAAACACGGCAAATGTGGAAAGAGGAGAAGGAAAGGGAAGATTGCTGCAAGCGATCGATCGATCGATCGATCGTTACGCTCAACTCGATTCCGCGAATCGAGTGTGACGAAATGGCGATGATTCCAATTCGCGTATATTATTGCGTATATCGCGATCTTCGATTAATTTTCCATCGATCTATCATTAAGTGTGCTTCATTAACTTCACGTTTTCATACGATTCGATTTTCTTTGGAATCATCGTCTCAGCTAGCTCGATTACCATTTCTTCGATTCCGGAAGAAAAAATTCGTGTCTTCCCCATTTTTCAGCTCCTACTTCTTTCTTCACCCACTGATCCTCGCATATGTTTGAACATTTTACGATCCACAAACAGACTTAACCAACGACAAACGAACGAAGACGGTTTCCTTCCCCTTTCCTTTCGACGTTCACACTTATCCCGATTACGACCTACCAAAACCACCGGTCCGACACAATCACTTATTGGACCATAAACTGTCACCCCTTCTCCTCTCCCCCTGCTTCTGCCTCTCCTGCGTTTGCCCCCCACGACTCGCAACGCCTCGTCTTCGTCTGATCGATATCCAGAGGGGAAGGGGGGAGGGGGTGGGCTCGATAGATCGGTTCAACCGACGTATATCGAAGAGGGGAGTAAAGGGATCCCCGTTGGTAGCCCCGATACCGCGTCGAGCGAGAGAAAAGCCCTCTCTCCACGTCTCTCGATACTCCGTTCCTCGATGCGCATACGGCCGTCTTTCTCCCGCGTAACCGGGACTATCGTGAACGGACATCGGCAACGTCCGGTATTTTACCTTATCTCCAACCCCTTCGGCCAATAAAGATGACCTCTATAGAGATAGTGCCGCGAAATACGCGGACCATCCCGTTCAGGGATTAACCGCCGTCGCCATCTTGGGTTAAAGATCGTTTTCTCCTCTTAGGCCAGATATAGTCACGATATCGGGCTCCGTCCCAAGGTAGGCTAATCCTGTCGTCCCTGTTTCGACTCGATTCGCCCCGATTCGCGGAGGGCGATATTCGTTTTCGGGGATATTTCTTCGCCCGCGATCGATTCGACGCCGCGTGACCGATTGTTCGACCGATTGTTCCATTGAACCATCCGTACGATTGTTATGGTACGTGGATATATATTCGAGATACGACCAGAGAATCCCAAAATGGACAATCGTAGAGAGAGAGAGAGAGAGAGAGAGAGAGTGTACAATCGTCGGATTCTGGAACCATCATCGATCGTTCCATTCTTCTCTCGATATCATCGAATCGATGGCCGTCATATCGATGGCCCAATAATAACGCGGAGATAACGCGATAAATTATCAGCGACTCGATATCATTTAATTGCACGATACCGTGTAATGAGTTTAAATAAAGTGTATATGTATTGAATATTCATTCGTCGCGATCGTTATCGTCACGATTGATCTTCTCTTGTACGAAGGTTTAACGAAAGTCGGAAAAAAAAAAAAGGAAAAAGAAAAGAAAGTGAGCTTGAATCGAGGAGATTAAAGACGATTTTCATCGTGACGGGGCGATTCGACGAGAAACAAGTGATGAGCGTTAGTTTCTGGCCAAGAGAGAGAGAAAACGTATCGACGAGAGATCGACGAGAGATCGATCCTTGCTACGATCCACGTAACCGCAACCGAGGCTTAAAATATCCGTCGTCGTTCGATTGACGGAGCAGCCAGCCTGCAGTCTACCTTCCACGTCCTCGAATTACTTTTCCTTTTTAATTATACTCGGCGTTCGAATCCGATAAGCTCGTGGACGAGTTCTCAGGATTTTCGAGGGTAAACCTGGCGAAAGTTAGCGAGCTACTCTTTCAGCTTTCGCCATCAACCCTTGTTTTCGTATCTCGCCTTGCTTTGGCGCGCGTTTCACTTTTGTTTTGTTCCCCTCCACGAATTAAAACGACACCGACTCGCAACACTTGCAGCTGCAACAACCACGACAACGTCCCGTCCGAGTCCTCCGTGGTTCATGACTTCTCAGCCGAGCGTTTGGAGCACGGCTAAGCCGACTGTCAGGCCTCCCTCGAGGATTACGACACCCTCGGCTCAGCAACCGCCGCAGCCACCAGCACCGTCCACCCCGGCGCTCCCAATAACCACCACTCCAAGGTCGGTACACTTTAAACACTTTCGCATTACGAAGTACGAAACGCGTTGCTTTTCGAACGTATCATATCCTTTCGACTCTATATTTAATTTTTCCAACTTCAAAATTTTCCGTTTCCGAAATATTGTTTTTTCGCTTCTTTGGGAAAAAAAATTGGAAAAATGTCGGTGATAATTTTCATCCATATCGGTACGGCGAAAGATACACGGTGAATGATATTTTTCCCAAATTGAAGCGTGAAATAATAAAGATATTTCCGTACCGCGCAACTTTGTCACGGTACGGAAGGATATTCTCTCTCTTTCCTTGTGTTAGTTGGAAAAACAAAGTTATCGAAATGTTCCATTAAAAGTGGAATTGCGTTGCGCTCCTCCCGGATCGGGGAGGAAATATTTTCGTTGGCTCGTTGGACGACGAGCATCGGCCGACACGATCGGCAACAGCATCGTTTCAAAGTGACAAACGACCGTTCCATTTCACAGTCCGAGGTCGCCGCTCGATATGGAGGTCGAAGTGGACCAAGACTTAATATCTCCTGCGAATGTTCCGTCTGCGAATACACCGGCGATGCCTCCGATCGTTCCCGAGACCACTCAAGCCACAACCACGTCGACCTTTGCCCCTTGGAGAACGAGTCGAAGGACCACTGGTAAGTTCTCGAGTGTTTGATCGAGATCTTCTCGAACGAGGGAAGAGCATTGATGGCGTTTTGATAAGGAGACCGTGTGTATCGTTTATTCTATGTCATCCAAGTCGAGGAGAGACGGTGCTCCAAAAGTTGAAGGTTTGAGAACAGAGCTAATTGCTCTCCCCACTCGATTATCGAATTTGTTCGATGATAAGATAGACAGGTTCGATGAATTATTTATTCGATCAATTATAAATATATAATATATATATATATATATCCATTCACGCGTGTGGGGTAATTCGAAACATCTCTCTACTCGATTACGGTCGACACGTTCGCTCGAGGGCTTGTCAGCTGTCAATTACAGTTACACGATCCGAAAGGGTTAATGTTCAAAAGACAGCCGCCAGAACTTGAGAGAGTTTCAAGTAGGGATAGGGATAGGGCTTGAAATGGATATCTTCCCTAGAAGATATCGATTCTTTTTTTTTTTTTTCAATTGCTTTGGCCACGTATTCCCGGGAGTCGTATCCAGG